AAAAAAAAAAAAGAAAAGGAAAAGAGCCGCCCGCCCTCGCGGCTGCCCAGAGCCATGGCCGGGCCGCGGGGCTGCGCGCTGCTGCTGTGCGTGCTGCTCGCCCGCGCCGCCCGCTTCCCCGACTACCCCGACGTGCTGGACGACGAGGAGGACGCCGAGCCCCTGGACTACAAGGACCCCTGCAAGGCGGGTAGGGACAAAGCGGAGCGCGGGGCGGGCGCGCGCGGAGGGGGCGCGCTCCGTCCCCGCTCCCCCCCGCAACCCGTGGCCCGGCCCGTGGGCGCGGGGGCTCCGCGGGGACCCCACCCGGTGCCGGCTCCGGTGGGGGCGGCCGGTCCGTCCCTGCTGCGAGCGGCCCCCGCGGCCAGCGCGGCACCGAGAGCGGGGCCCGGAGCCGCCGGTCGTTACCCGCGGGCGGCCCCGGCTCCTGCCGGGCGTTGCTGAGCTCTTAATCACGCTTTGGAAGTGCCCAGAGGCCCCGGTGAGTGCCGAGACGCTGCCGAGCCAGGCAGGGGAGATGCGAGGGGAAACTGAGGAACAGGGGAGACCACCCCCCACCTCTCCCTACAGGCACAGGGGCTTGGGTCCCATGGGATGGTCCCACATGCAGGACGGAGGGTCGTGTCTTTCTCTAACAGCATTGTTTGCGCTGGAAGGTGCCTGTTGATATAACTCTGTCTACAGGAGGTTTTTCTTCTGGCCCGAACTCCTTCCCTTCCTGCCCTCCCGGGCTTGCAAAAGCGCCTGGGCTGAGCTGGCCGCAGGCTCTGCTCACTTGTGTCTCACCAAGCGCGCGGCAGGGACGGGACGTTGCTTGTCCATGAGAGGAATTGCTCGGGAATGACTTTCCCAAGAGAGGAAGGGCCCCTTATCCTGCCGGTCCCACACACACCGACATCCTGGTGACTCCTGCCAGCACCGGCGGGGCGGCCGCTTTCCCCCTTGCGTGCCCAGAGTGGGAGGATTTGCCCCTGGAGCTCAGGGACCCACCGGGACTCGTGCTGGCACCCGCCGGGCTCGGCCTTCGCCCTGCGCGCGGAGTCACTGTTGTTGTTTGGAGGTGAGCGGGGCAGTGAGATTCCCTGGGATTTGGGCAGCACCGGAAACAGCTGAGCGCTGGGGCCTCGCCGCCGGCTCCCGGCGCGAGGAGGCGGCGGGAGGGGACGAGCTGCGGAAGGAATCTGGTTTTCTCCGCACGGCTCGTGCCAGAGGTATCCTGAGGCCGCCCGCCCAGGCAGGACAGCGGCTCCGGCCGCCCCGTGCCCTGCACCAGCCCTGCCCCGGTGTCAGTGGCCGGGCAGAAAGAGCTGCCGGTGCCATCTGCTCATCCGCTCTGGCCATCCCAGCACCTACAGGGACTTGGCTGGGAGCTGTGGCCCTTGGAGCAGCCCCCGATATCCAGAGGGAGCAGTTGGCCCTCGCTGTCCCTGGCTGGGCTGGCGGGATGTGCGGGTCTCTGTGCTGGTGGTGAGCAGTGCACGGCCCCGCTCGCAGCCTGCCCACTCCCCGGGGCACCCGTCGGAGACCGGAGCCGCCTGCCTTCCCCCTGGAGCTGCCTGCGGAGCCGCGCTGGGAAAACAGCCCTGCTAGTGCTTGCTCAGAGCTGTGTGTTTGCGAAGGGCTAAGCAAACACGGCCGGCGGGCTGCGTGCTCTGCTCCGAGCGGGAATGCCGAGGCCGGCAGCGCCGCCCGCACGGCGGCTCCCGCGGGACACGGGGCTCGGATCCGGCGGGGATGGCCCCGCAGCGGCAGCCTCGCTCGCCAGCCGTGCCTGGAGCGCGCTGGCTCCGGCCGCGGGGCTTCACCTAGATTACACTTTCCAGGCGGAGCCGCCGGAGGCTACTGCTTGCAGTCACACTTGTCAGGCTGCCCAAAAATATTTTCCAGCCGTTATATGTCACTTATTCATGCCGGCTAAAACCCGCCCGCGGAGTCGGGGCCGGCGGGAGGCCTGCGCTCCAGGGCAGCACAGGGATCCTGTGGAGCTCCCCTGGGATCCGCTTTATCCATGTGCACTGGGCCGTGGCCTCGGAGGAGTCTGGGGGTTCGCGTCCCCGCTGCCACCTGCCTGCTCCGTGACGCCCCGGGAAAGCCTCCTGCTGTGCATTCCCGCCGGCAGCTCGTGTCCAGTGGGAGATGGCACTTCCTGAGGCTTATCCACTGCTGGGAAACACATGGCCAGCACGTGGGCAGGAGCAAAGCCACCCTCGGGAAGGGATAATGGGGGGACAGGGCACCGTGGCAGAGATTTGGCCCAAGCTTGTACCAACCATCGCCACGGTGTTTGTTCAGCGGCTTTGCCCGGTGAGAGGCAAGGAGAAAATTGCACCCTCCGCAGCGCTGTGTGTGGATTGAAGCCCCTGCTGCAGTGGAGAGCAAAGCTGGGAAGGGAATGGGAGGCGCAGGGTGGCGAGGAGCAGCCGGAGCGATGCTGTGGATTCCCTGCTGGCCCTTTGCTGGCCTTTCTCCTCCGTCTGCTCTTGGAGCTGTAGGAAATCTGCCCCCGAAGCAGGCAGGCTCCGAGACCCGTCCGCAGGGATGCAGGGAGGATGGTGGTGAATGGATGGGGATGCCGAGTCGGTGCTGCATGGGATGCCAAGCGCTGACCTGGCCAAAGCCCGGTCGGATGATGCCCGGAGCTGGGAGCAGTAAGGCTGGGCCAGGACTGTGCCGGCATCCTGGGAATGCACTGCTGGGAGCAGGCAGCGCAGAGAAAAATGGGGCTATTTAAAGGCCCAAATCGACTCCGGAATGAAGGGGCTGTGCTGGCCAGAGCAGGCAGCAGCTGGACAGTGGCCCCAGTGCTGGGACAATGTCCCGAGCACCCCCTCATCCTGCCCTGGCTCAGAGAAGGCACCCAGAGCAGCATGTGGCCACGTTTGCCGTCCCGGTGAGCAGCACGGCGGGCGCTTTCCAGCTCCAGCCCAATCCCAGGGCGGCCGCAGCTCCCGTGCCGCGGCCCCCCGCGTCCCGCGGCCCCGTCGCAGCTGGGCTGGCGCGCGGCGGCGAGGGGGAGGCGCGAGGAGCATTCCTCGCATAGCGAGCGGCTCGCCGGAGCCGGGGGGTGCTGCCCTGCTGCCTCCAGTGCCCGGCAGCACCTCGGCGAGAGCCCCGCTCCTCCTGCGCGACCGAGCACCCACTGCTGCTCCCCATGGCCCGTGAGCGGCCCCCGCGCTGCCCGCGCTCCGAGGCCGCTCGCAGAGCTCCCCGCCGCGCTCGTCGGCCGGCCGCGCTCGGCCAAGGCTCCTCCCGTGCTCTGTTTGTTTTTGCCTGCTCAGCAGGACGCCGCGGCCGTGGTGCGAGCCCCCTCGCAGCGCTTCCCTGCCGGGACGGAGTCTGAGGTCAGCGGGAACGCGGCAGACCCTTGGCACGGAGCCCCGGCCCCTCTCCGCCGCCTGCTCCCAGGGATGCTGAGCACCTCCTGCATCCCCGGCAGGCCGTGGCGGGACAGGGATGTGGGGACAGGGACACGCATGGGGCAGAGGGACCCTGCGAGCCATCGGGAGGGCGTGCGCGCTCTGGGGACACGGTGCTGCAGGGGCTGCCTGGGGTCTGAGTATTTGTCCGGATATTCAGCCCTGCGATTACATCATTGTTCCGAGAACCCAAAGAGCAAACAGAGCAGAATGTCAAAGCGTGGTGCAGGGCTGGGGTACCTCCCGGCTGCTCAGCTGGGACGCGGGTGCACAGGGAGCTCCAGCATCACCAGTGACAGTTCCCGGGCCCCACTGGTGCCCAATGCGGACCTGGGAATCATGCGGATCCTCGGGGCTGGCTGTTGCACAGGGCTGGATGCTGCCGCCTCGGCTTCTGCAGAAAGTGACCATCTCTGGGTGACTAGTGGGTGTCAGATGGGGAAACAGAGGTTGAGGGTGAGCAAAGGCAGCACGGAGATGCTCGCGGCTCGGGGCATGGGGATGCTCACGGTGCAGGGCACGAAGAAGCTCACAAGTCAGGACACGTGGATGCTTAGCGGCTTAGGACATGGGAACGCTCGTGGCTTGGGACATGAGGATGCTCGGGACATGCTCGCAGCTCAGGACACAGGGGTGCTCGCGGTGCAGGGCCCAGGGATGCTCACGGCTCAGGACCTGGGGAAGCTCATGGCTCGGGACACAGGGATGTTCGTGGCTCGGGACACAGGAACACTTGTGTCATGTAGCTTGCAGAAGGGCTCAGGACCCCCTGGTCTCTCCCATGGTGAGGGCGGCCTACCCCTGCCGCTGTGGTCCCCGCGCTGTCCCGACCCTCCCCCCTGCTGCTCCTCACTCCCCTCATTAAGCAGCTTCATTAGCTGGGCCGAGGAGGGGGATGTCTTGCTGAGCCGTGAGAAACCCGCGGGCGCCGCGTTCCCCATGGGCTCCCCCGGGACAGGGCAGCCGGTGGTCACAGATGCTCCCGGTGGCTCCGCTGTGCTCCGCGCACGAGCAGGCGGCAAAGCGCCGCCGCCAGCCCCGATACTGGCGCGAGATAAGCAAGTCGTGGCAGCACGGGAGCCGCCGGCGCCAGCATCCGCAGGGGAATCTGCAGCAGCTCGGGAATTTGGGCAAGCGGCTTCCCGCCCCGCTTCCCTGAGCTGGAGCTGTCCCCAGAGCCGCCTTCGCACCCTGCCGCTCGCTCCTGCAGATGCAAAGGGAGCCCAGGCGTCCGAGTTCCCTTCTCCTGCTATTGCTGCTGCTCCTGCAGCGCGGGGCCGCCCAGGCCGTGTCCCCTGCAGACCTTTGGCTTTGGAAGCACCCAGAGCGGCACGGCGGAGGCAGGACCTTGCTGCTTCCATCCCTGGTGCCCTCCTCGCCGCCGCCGCTTCGCTTTGGGAAACAGCCTTGCGGATGCGGCTTTGGGAAGGGAAAACGATCCGGGAGGCTGGGGCGAGCCCCGACCGACGTGGAAGTTTCTAAATCGGCCGCGCTGGGCTGTCCCTAGCGTGTCTGCGCCAGGAGGGCTGCCAGGAGGCCGCCCGCGCCGCGCGGAGCCGCCCGCGCTCCCTGGCGCAGCCGGCACCAGGCAGGCTTGGGGCCGCTGCCGAGCCGCGAGCCGGGCCCCCGGCCCCTCGCTCGCTCGCCCGGCTCGCTCACGTCTCCCAAATCCCTCGCATATGGTTTCTATACGGCTTGGCCCCGGCGGCGCTTGCTGCGCTCCAAGCGAGCTTACTTTCCCTTGTCCTTCCCGCGGCTCTTGGCGCGGCTGCCCACTCCGCCGGCCTCCCCCACGCTGCCGGCCGGACACGGCCCCTCCGCTCCCGCTTCCGCTCGGCGCTGCTCGCAGCGGCTCCGCTCCCCCTTCCCGGGTGCTCCCGATGTTTCCCACAGAACCCGTGGCTCTAGGGGGATGCACATGCTAATTGCCCCGGCGCTGCTCGCTCCCACATGGTTCTGCTTGTACCCACTGCTTGTCCCGGGATACTTGGGCTGGGAGGAAGAGGAGGAGGAGGAGGAGGAGGAGGAGGAGGAGGAGGAGGAAGGTTGCTGGAGCCAGCATGGCCCTTGGTGCTTGCACGTGCGGTGCTGGGTTAAAACAACTCTGCTACACAAACAATCACGGAAAGCCTGAAAAGACGCGGAGCTGCCTTGATGCAAAGCAGATGCGGCGGCCGGCAGGCACGGAAGCCCAGGGCGGCACGGCCCCCGGGAGCGAGGAAGAGGCCGGGCCTCCTTCATCCCCATGGGGTGGGGATTGCCCCCGTAACAGCCTCCCCCGCTCCGCAGCCGCCTTCCTGGGAGACATCGCGCTGGACGAGGAGGACCTGCGGCTCTTCCAGGTGGAGCGCGTGGTGGACGTGCCGCGCCGCACCGTGCGGCGCCTGCCCGCCGCCCACGCAGGTACCGGCGCCCGCCCGCGGCCCCGGC